AGAAAGAGAGAGAGGTTTACTGTTACTTTGGTATTACTCTGTACTTGCATGCACAACCACGTACACTGTCCAGTCTACGGAGCAACCAGATACCCACTTTCGCCATCTGCGCTTGGATGCCCTTGGCGACCAGTGCTTTCACAGCACCCTCTGCCGCCATCGGTGACTCGAAGTCTACAAATCCGTAACCTACAACACAATTACGACGGTATAAACCCCCGCTGACAATTTTATCATGCATAAGAAATCGTAAAAGAGAATATTTTGTTTATCACATGTATTTATATTACGATTTGAATAGAAATTCTCTATAAAAGTTCGCATAAATTTCATTGAAAGAATTACAAGATAAACATTTTGAAACAACAAACTTCGTATGTGAATTATAATATGTATATGTATATGTGTATATATATATATATATATATATATATAAATCCAAGAAATTAAAAAATATTGAGGACGTGCATTAATTACCTTTACATTTGTTTGTATTTTTGTCTAAAATCGCCTTGGTGGAAGTTATAGTTCCGTACCTGCAAAAATATTGAGTTTTGGTCTGACGTATTTGCATTAATTTACTTATAACTATGCAATTTCAAAAAGTAATAAATTATTGATATGACTACTATAAACTAATATAATTATTAATAAGCAATAGTTTTATGTACGATTTCAATTTCTATCTATAAGTATATTACGATAAATAATATTAATTTACATTTGGGATGCTAGATAGCTCCCAGCTGGCAGTTCCAGAACAATCATTTATCAGATCCGGGTTCAATTCCCAAAATTGCTATCTGGCATATATGCCATTAAGAACTTTAAATAACAAATTTTGACTCGTACAGTACATAAATATCAAAAGAAATTCATAATATTTATGTATTTCATCATGATATATAAATATCTACCATCACGTATATAGCGTTACTTACTGAGAACACATGTTAACGAGGTCTTTGTCAGTCGTATTCTGGTTGAGGCCACGGATGTATAGATTCGTTTTAGACAGCTGCTCTGCTTGTTGACCCTGCATGGCATTGTTGCTGAGGTTCGTGCTCATTGTCCCGCTTTGACTGCCGGTGGCACTACTGGAGCTGCTGTTAGTGTTTGCTGGAGATGAAGCTGTAGGCACCCGCTGTCCGCCGTACTGTAAGCACCATCAATACTGTGCGATAACTGAAGATGTTCGAAAAGAGTCAAGAACAATTGATTTGATAGAGCCTATCGCTTTTATCGAATCGACTATCGGTCGATACAACATGTATTATCTTAAACTTGTGTTACAATAGGCTAAAGGTACATAAAAACTTCAGTAGTAAGATGTAAAGAGAAAAAAAATCAACATTTTGAATTCGCTTACATTATTATTACCTTATATTTTCTACTGTATGATTAACCAATTCGCTTATTGTTTATGTTTTATTGCATTACGTTTTTCTGTGTGCCAAGGACTATAGTCTTTACATGAATTTAGCGTTCCGCTATAAATCATATTATCATAACATAATCAATAACTTGCGTGCAATAAAAATATGAAATTAGTATATATCTATAATCTTGGAACTATTAGTACTCTATAATAAAAATATGAAATTAGTACTCTATAATCTTGGAAACTATTATTTTCATATTTAAGTAGTAGGATTCACTTTGAAATGAATTTTGATAAGCAAGAATTTCGTATACTAAAAATAAAAGTGCTATTTTTTTTTATATAAAAACGATTCCAAAGAAGTTACATGAATTTGTAAATGATATATTTCCTTCTTCAGTCCTTGTTTACAACAGTAAATTTTGTAAAATCGCACGCGCAGAGCATTAAACGCTTGTCAAAGTGACCTACGTCTCGTTCCAGATTTTGCGACTTTCCACCTTGTCGCACAACGGTCTCGGGTTTATTATCATGGACAAAGTCAACAGAGAGATTGGAAAATACACAATAAATGCGACTTACCGTCGCGTGCTGCGCGTATGTAGCGGTGACGAAGGGATTAACGGATGCCGGTAGCTGCTGGGGACCGCCACCGACCGCGGCGGCCGCCGCAGCCGCTGCTGCCGCACTCGGATAACGCGTGTAAGGTGGGTACGTAACTGCCGCTGCTGCCGCCGCGGCCGCAGCCGCGTGAGACGGCGCCGTACTCCAGGCGGCCGCACCACCTCCGCCACCACCACCGCCGCTCGCACGGTACTGCACCGG